GACGCTGCCCAGCCATCTAAGTGGCCAGGCTCCATCCCGAGGTCTTCGCCAAGGGCCAGGCCTGTTCTCTTAGGAGTGGGATGGTTGTTCCTTTTTAAGCAGCAGCCCTTGCTTTTTATTTCCTCATCCTGTGAACGTTCGCTCTTCCGCACTCCAGAGCCCAAATACTCGCTCTGTGTCATGAAGGCGCAGTGAGTCACGCATCTCCTTCCCCAGGAGCCCTCAGAGAGCACACACGGCATCTGGGGATTATGTGCTACCCGCAGCCCGTCATGGCATCAGGCACTTGACTGGTATTCAAAAGAGACCGAACACAGTTTTAGATGAAGTTTTAATTTTGAAAACATGCCTTTCCTTCACCACACAACACCACACACACACACACACACACACTCACACACACACACTCACACACACACACTCACACACACACACTCACACACACCACCACCACCCAGCCCCACACTGGATTTCTAGACTCTACACACACACCGGTCTACTCTCTGATCTGCCACCCCTAACGGGCCATAGCCAAAATAATGGACTGGCAGCTGGACATTGCTCAGTTGATTTCCAGTATTTCTCTTGAGGGAGAAGGACAGGATGAGGGTCTTCCGGAAGGAGCTAAAGAGAGAAAGATAGGTTGAGAGGTAAAAGATGACAGTAGATGGATGGATAGAAGGCAGGTGGGTGGGTGCATAAGAGATGAGTAGGATCTTTAGCTAATAGGTGGGTGGGTGGGTGGATAGATGGTGGGTGGATAGGTGTGAGGACAGATAGAGACAGATGGACACAGAGAAGGATGGATTGATTGCAAAGAACTTTCACGAAGCCAGCATGTGGGAAAGGTCTGAAACCAGCAGCAGGAAGCACTCGCCAGCACACCCCATTGAAAGCACCCATGTTTCATGCTGAAACTCCGGGATTTCCCTGCTTCCAGCTCCTGATGCTGCTGCTCCGGCCTGCAGGAAGGCCACAAAGCAGCCAGCCGGCCAGGACTTGCTGTGAGTCCTTTGTGAATCCTTCCACCCAGCACCCAGAGACTCAGCCTCTGTGCCTGGCCCCGGGAGTCAGGCCCCATTTCCCCTGCCCTGTGAAATCAGCCGCACGCATCCCTTCTCCTGGTCCGAGGCCCGTTCTCAGCCTCCGGCTCCTTCTCATCACCATAGTGACCCGGAGCCATCATGTGTCTGGGGGACGATCACCTGAGCCAGCTCCAGGAGAGATTTTGCCAGGCTCTGGAGGGCTTCAGAGGACAGTCACAAGACACGGGTCTGTCTCGGCCCCCAGCCCTTCGGAGAGCAACAGAGGATGGGGCGCTGGAGAGAGGCGTCTAGTCCTCGTCGGTTCTGGCCCTGGCCCAGGCAGAGTGGAAGCGAGGCTGCCAGCGGCGCCTGCAGTTTTAGCAGCAACGTGGCTTTCTGTGATTGCCCGACTCCCCATCGGCCGCTTAGCTGTCAGGGAAAAATAATGCAGGACTTCGCCTTGTCATTCTCTCTCTCTCTCTCTCTCTCTCTCTCTCTCTCTCTCTCTCTCTCTCTCTCTCTCTCTTTCTCTCTCTCTCTCCTGCCTCCTCTGCGGGCACCTGAGCCTGTCCGAAGCCAGATGTTCTCAGAAATCAAGGTCTGAGCTCCAGGCCCAGCCTACACAGAGAGGGAAAATGACTCTGCTCCTGCCTCTCTGAGCCCCGGAGCTGGGGGGTCGCGGGCTCTGGCCCAGCTGGGAGAGAGGATTCGCAGGTTGCAGGCGCTGAACACAGACCACCACAGCGGCTGAGCAGACACAGCACTGACCCCCCAGTCGAGCAAGCCTTGGCCTTCCCCTGGGCAGGAGGGAGGCCCGCACTGGGCTGTTCTGGGGGTGCTGTGTGACTCAGTCCCTCTCTTCGGCAACTCTCCTTCTCCTCGACTTGAGAGAAGACAGTGTCAAGGCAGATCACAAGCAAACACGTGCTGTCTGGGATATGAGAAGAGCTCAGGAACAAAGAAGCAGCCCCACTGATCTGCGAGCCGGGGAGATGAGGATGAATTCATGTTTGCATTTCTGAAAAGGGATGGACTGGGAGGGCATGAAAGCACCTTAGCACCGCCGGCTGTGAGGACTCAGCCACTGGGCCAGGCTGCAGGTACAGGAAACACTCTTCTTTGGGGAATCCACTTTGCACCCAGAAAGTGAGAATGGGTCTCAAACTCCTTCGTGCAGAATGAGCTAGGTTTTTGTTTTGTTTTGTTTTTATTTTTGTTTTTTTTTTTTGCTTTTTTGGGTCACACCCAGCGATGCTCAAGATTGAACCCAGGTCAGCTTCATGCAAGGCAAACGCCCTCCCCGCTGTGCTGTTGCTCTGGCCCGATGAGCTGATTTTTAAAGGGGGTGTGAAGTGGGAGAAGGCCTTGTGATGTCCTCCCCCCCCATCCCCCCGTCTCAAGGGCAGCTACTCAGACTCTCCACACTCATCTGGAACACCCCGCCTTGATCCCAAGGAGCATCCAGTCAGTGCCGGGTTCGGCCATATCTTCTGCCAGCAGCTATGACCCAAACGCGAGGAGAATCAGAACCAACCCAAACTCTACCCTGCCCACTTTTTTTTTTTCAATGTCTAGTGATCTTCATGAGGGATGGCAAAGATCGGGTTAAATTAATTCCCTGTCTAGGGTTTGGGCCCATTTCCTGAAGCTCCAGATAGGAATAAATGGAAAGTTCTCCTTGTGCCAGAGCAGCTGAGCAGACACAGCAGAGACCTCCCCCAGACAAGCAAGCATTACTTTGGAAACGAGAAAACAGCCATTAACCTACATGTAATTTATTTTATTAAAATAACATAATTAAGGAACCATTGGATAACTGTATTGTATCAGGCACAACAAAAACATAACACCCCCTGAAAAATAAAATACATTTAAAAATAAGATAAAGGGGCTGGAGCTATAGCAGGGAGGGCCTTGCATGCGGCTGACCTGGGTTTGATCCCCAGCATCCCCTATGGTCCTCCAAGCCCACCGGGAGTGATTCCTGAGTGTAGAGCCTGGAGTGACCCTTGAGTATCACTGGGTGTGACCCAAAAAGCAGAAAAATAAATTAAAAATTAAAATAAAAGGGAAATGGGCCCAAACCCTAGACAGGAAATTAATTTAACCCGATCTTTGCCATCCCTCATGAAGATCACTATAAAACCCAGCTCCCAGAACCGCACGGCTGCATTTGGGGCCGCGTGACATCTTTTTATCTCATTCCTACTTTGGACAACCTGGCAGGCTACCGAACGTAACCTGCCCACAGGGCAGAGTCTGGCAAACTCCCCGTGGCGTCCCCAATATGCCAAATACCAGTAACAAGGATGGGTCTCATTCTCCTAACCCTGGAAGAGCCTTGAATGTGGCACTTTTTAAAAAAAATCTCAGGGCTAGGACGAAGGAGACGTTACTGGGGCCTGCTCGAGGCAATCGACGAACAACAGGATGGTCGTGATCGTGATCGTGAAAATAAAAGGGGGCGTGCTAGGGCTTGATTCCAACACAACTCTGAATGAATCCCCGAGGGCCGGTGTGTGCACACACGGCGCCGTGTCCTCATGGACCTCCCCTGGCCCTTTGCCCAGGTCTTGAGTGAAAGCCACAGGGGATTTGCAGCTGTTACAGGGCTGAGGTTTGCGCTCCACCTGCCCCCTCTTGTCCCCAGGGGTGCTGGGGGGTCAGTATAAACATGCCACCCCTGGGAGGGCTCCTCCCACACCCCGACGCAGACAGATGGGCACCAACCGTGTGTCTGGGCCCAGGCCTCACTGGTGCGCTTACCAGAGTCGCCCTATCTGTGGCCTGTGTCCCCTGCAGGGGAAGGACCCCCATGCTCCCGGCTTGGCTTGAAGACAGGTTCCTGAGAAGCAGCTGCAGCAGACCCCCGCCCCACTAGCTATGCCCGTGCCCCTGAGAGTGAGAATGGGGGTGGGGGGCTTTCCCCTCGCAGACACGGGCAGGTGCTGGAGTACGGCAGGCACCTGTGCAGCGTGGGCCGCAGCCCTGCTCGGGGAGAAATCACGCCCGCCTTCGCCTGCGCCCCAAGTCTGTCTGTGCCGTTCGTGCCTCCTTGGCGTGCCTGGAAGTGCCCGGGAGTGAGTTCTGAGCCTGTGAGGAGGGTTTCTTGTTCCTCATGGGAAGGCAACTGACTGGCAAGAACTTGGTTTGGTTTCTGATTCCTGTTTGCCCCCTCCGGCGTTCGTGGGGCTGGGCATGTCCACACAAGGCAGCTTGGCTTGAGGATGGTGCGACGGAAGAAATCACTTGTATCACTGGTATCACTTGTCATCCCGCGGCTCATCAAGTTGCTCGAGCGGGCGCCGGTAACGTCTCCATTCATCCCTGTCGGGAGCTAGTATAGCCCGATGGCATCTGCTCGCTCCAGGAACTCTGTTCCTGGAGTTCCTAGGCAGAAGAAATAAGTCGGTAAAACTTGAGCCATTTCTCCGACGATGGTCTTGGGTCTCTGTAGGATTCGCAGTAGATGTGTTCGACTGTCGGGTCGCACCAAGGGGTGCTCAGGGGACCTTAGTGTTGCCGGGGATTAAACTGGGCCCTGCGGCATGCAAGGCCAGCACCTCAGTGCCTGTCCTTCTCTCCCGCCCCTCGGGAGGATTCTGGAGTTTATGTCATCACAGGCCAGTCACAGAGACGCTGAGCCCCGGCCACCCGCAGCCCTGGCTGCTCACCTCAGGGAACGGAGTCACCTGACTCAGCCTCAGTTGCTTGGCTGGGAACTGAGACCCCCCCCCCCACCAGGCTCCTTTGTGGTGCTGAGCCTCCCAGAGGCTGGGGGCAGCCGTCCTCACACGACGGCTTATTGGGAGAATGTCCTGGCCTGGAAAATTCCCAAATCACAATCAATAGGCCCCACGGTCCCAGAATGGGCCAGGGTAGGGGTTCGGCGATGGTGGTTCAACAAACTCCCCCGGGAGAAAGCAAAGCAGCAGCAAATCTGAACCGGCCACTTTGTTTTTTCTTTTTCTCTAGACGAACATTTCCAAGTACAGCCTGGTGATGGAGTCAGACCTGGGCACCTTCTTGCCCACAGCACTGCAGTTCACGGGCAGCGAAGAGGCCAAGGTCATCATGAAGAAGATCATGAGCCTGATGCAGCCTCTCAACATCACCCAGCTCCTGGACGGTGGCGAGGGCACCGACATCAACTACTGGATCCAAGCTGGCGTGCCTGGTAAGACCAGAGTCCGGGACGGGCCGCCGGTGGGGGAGAGGACCCTTGGGCAAATGCGTTTCTGAGACTCCCTCTTCTTTCTCAAGCAGAAGCCCTCAGCCCCACCACAGAGGTTCTAATTCCATAACTCTGGGATTGGGCCCAGAATCCTGGTGGTGATTTTCTTCTTCTTTTTTAAGCTGGTGTGTTTGGTTTGTTTGGACAAACTTGCAGGCTATCGAATGTAGCCTGCCCACATGGCAGAGTCTGGCAAACTCCCCGTGGCGTACCCAATATGCCAAATACCAGTAACAATGATGGGTCTCTTTCTCCTAAAGAGCCTTGAATATAATCTCAGGGCTAGGATGAAGGGGACGTTACTGGGGCCTGCTCGAGGCAATCGACGAATAACAGGATGATTTGTGATTCATGTTTGGTAGCAAGCTCATCATTAAAACTGGAGAAGGAGGAGATGGCTGTCATCATTACAGATGTCCTTTGGGTTTTCAACCAGGGCTGAGAGGACTTTCCAACTTCTTTTCTGACCCGAATTCTGGGGCATGTGAATTGTTGGCTCCAGGGATGCAGGCTCAAATGCAGCCGCGAATCATTTCTTCCCTAAAGCTGGAACTCCGATGGGCATTTGGACAGGGGCACATTTCCCCTGATCTGTGATGTATGATGGGTCTCATTCTCCTAAAGAGCCTTGAATATAATCTCAGGGCTAGGATGAAAGAGACGTTACTGGGGCCTGCTCGAGGCAATCGACGAATAACAGGATGATGAAATGAAAACGAAAATGAAATGTGATGTATGCGGCAGCTATCTTGTTAGACAAGGGCTGAGCAGAGGTGGCGTTCAGTAATAGGAGTAGGTCTACAGAAACCTAGAAAATGGGCTAGAAACACAGGGTTTAAGGCAGACGCTTTCAAAATGTAAGTCTGAGACTGGAGAGGCAGTCCAAGGGGGCTAGGAGGCTGGCCTGGCATGCAGTTAACCCTGGTTCAGTCCTCTGCACAGAATATGGTCTTGTGAACACCCCTCCTCCAGGTATGGCTCCAAAATAAAAAACACAAAGTTTTTTACATAGATTTGGCCTCTCGCGGCTATAGGAAAGGTTATCAATGTGGTTTCAGGTGACTTATGTGCATGGGGAGGAGGGAGAGATGGCGGCTGGAGGGAGGAGTCTGCTGCTCTCCTTCCTACCCACCTCAGTTACCCGGAAGTGGCTAGAAATCAAGGACTGAGGAGAGTCTGCAGTGCGCCATGCAGGGTACAAATGCTCCCGTTTCGACAGCCCCAAGAGGTGGTCCTCACACTCTGCCTGGAACCCACTTGTTCTGCACGGCATGAGAGATGATCCTGACACCGGGATTCTTGGGGAACTGTGGATCAGGCTGGAATGAGAAATTGCTCTTTGTGGGAAAGTAAAGTCAGTCCTAGATCCTACCCAGGCTTTCGGGGTATGTTGCTTTTCCCTCACAGAAAAAGAAAATTCGGGAGGGGATGAATAGTGAATTAAATAGTTTTATTTATGTTATGAGGAAGAGGAGAGAGGTGGGGAGGGAAGGAAAAAAAGGAGAGAGAGAGAGAGAGAGAAAGTCAGAGGGAGAGAGTTGGAGAGAGTGAATCAGAGAGCGGGAGAGAGGAAAAGAGGGAGAAAGAGAGAAAGTGAGAGAGTCAGAGAGAGAGGAAGTCAGAGGGGAGAAAACAGAGAGTCAGAGGGAGACAGAGATATATCAGAGGGAGAGAGTTGGAGAAAAAGAGAAAGGGAGAGAGAGAGAGAAGGAGGGGGAGACAGAGGAGACAGTGTAATACAGTCAGGAGAAAATGCGGCTTCTCCAGAGGCAGAGAGCTCTGAATGGTCTTTATGGGCCAGCTACTTGATGGATATTCTTCGTGCTGCCTTGACTGGCGTTTCCTGTGGCCGTCAGAGTCAATTAGGGCATTTTCATAGAGGAGGAGCTTTGAACTCTTGGGGGTCCTCATTAGTGTTGTATCACAGTCTTTGTCTCTGCTGAAGTTCGTATTGTCCTGTCAGGCCCATCCTGTCTTATCAGACATCAACACTGGTTCCAGGTAGAGCCTTATCAGACCTCAGTTCCTGTGTCCACAAAGTGGGTCCAGCAATAATGCTTTTAGCTCTTTAAGGGCTAGAGACAGAGTATCTGCTTCAATTCCATCTTGGGTTTATTCCATCCCTATGGAATTCATTCCCAGGAAGCACCCACCATCTACCTGCCTGCCTTAGACCTGAACCACTTAAGACTCAAAGCAGGTAGCTCAAGACCATTAAATCCCTAATCAAAAAGATTAAGAGGGGCCTGGTGGGCTGCCCTGTGCCTACTGCATGCAGATGGGAAGTCCAGCTTTTGAACCATTTCCAGTGTCATTTCTGTAGCTCCAAAAATTTCATAAGAATTTCTTTAAAAAAATAAATAAATAAGAAGTGTTTGTCTACATTCACTCTGACCCAAGCATTCCCCCCACCCTCATCTTCAAAGGACATTTTACCCGTAGTGCATGGATTTAAGATATTTTAAAGCATACTCTTGAAACATAGTTTTTAAAAAGCACTTAGGACAGGTCTTCTTGATCACTTGACATCTCATTACTCATCGATTTGCTTGAGTGGGCGCCAATAATATCTCCATTTGTCCCTGTCAAGTGCTAGTGTAGCCCAGTGGTGTCTGCTCACTCCAGGAACACAAAGAGCCTCAAACCATTCTTTCAGGTCTTGACGACGAAATCTAACCATCTCATAGGTGGGTGGCCACACAATCTTTTGATGTCCTGTGGAATCCAGTCGGTAATGGCTCTAGTCCAGCAGTTGTATCCAAATCACATTATGTGTCCAGCCCATCTGATTTTCGACACCTTGGCAGACAAGACAGCATCCCTGATTCTTCATCATCAACGGAGGTCAGAACTCTGGATTCCTTCTCTCACTTGAGTAAAGTGTGATACTCCAACATAGCTCTTTCGATTCCTCTTTGGGAGACCCGAATAGTGTTCTCATTCTGTTTTCGTAGGGCCCAGGTCTCTGAGGCACATGTTAATTAAGGAAGACCGGTGGAGTTGAAGAGATGTGCCCGAGGCTAGAGGTTCTTTGTCCTCTTAGCTATTTCGTTGTCGCTGTTGAAGGCGTTCCAAGCCACTCTCTTCCTCCTGCGCAATTCAGGTGCCAGATCATTCGTCATGTTGAGTTCTCAACCTAATTACACATAACTGCTGCATTCAAAGATGTTTATTCCATTGAGAGCAAATGGAACGTCAGGAACGAGTCCATTTCTCATGAACATTGTCTTGTTGAGATTCAACTGAAGTCCGACCTTTCCTTACTCATGGTTGAAGTCGGCCAGCATTTGTGCCTCTTGGCTTATGTTTGGTGTTACTAGAACGATGTCATCAGTGAAGAGGAGGAGGTGCCGACCATCTATCTTCACTCCCATTCCTTCCCATTCCAGTCATCGCATGACGTTCTCGAGGGTGGCACTGAAGAGTTTCGGTGAAATGGTATCACCATGCTGAACCCCTCTCTTGACGTTGATGATCACTTCCTTGAATCCATAATACAGCTCACGGAGGATCCTAATGTATTGAGTTTGAATGTCATGTTTGGGTAGGGCTTCAATGACCGCTTCCATTTAACAGAATCAAAGGCCTTCTTTAAACCAATGTTCGTTAGACAGAGCGGCATCTTGAACTCCCGAGAAACCTCAGGGAGCTTGGTTATCTTGTGGATAGGGTCGATTGTGCTGAATCCTTTTCGAAACCTGGCTTACTCACATGATTGTCCTTCATCTAGTGTTCTGCCAATCCTATTCAGGATGACTCGAGTGAACAGCTTGTAGATGATAGGCAACAGGCAGATCAGGCAATAGTTTCCAATGTTGTGGATGTCTCCCTTCTTATGCAGTAGAATGGTCCTGCTGGTTTTCCACTGGGACAGAACCTTATATTCAGACAGGTAGCGTGTGAAGAGCCAAGCCAGTGTACTGATGAGTACTGGCGGCAGATTCTTCAGGTATTCAGGTCTGACCTTGTCTGGGCTGGGTGCTGTTCACTTCTTTACCAACAAAATGGCATGTCATATTTCGAAAGGGAGAACATTGGGAACAACATGTCCATCCTGTGGAATTTGTTATGTGGGCAGGTGGACATGGCTGGCTTATAAAATCAGGTTTATAAAAATGTTTCACAGCTAAAATCAGGAGCTTTCCTTTATTGCAATGCAAGAACTCACATTATTTCCAGTAGTTTGTCCATATTCTAGACACATGCAGAAGTCTCTTCATCTATTTCCACAGCCATAACTGTGCTCAGATCAGAAAAGATCCCAGGCTCTATAAGGGGCCATTTTAATCCTCAGCAAAGGCCTGGGGCCAGGAATTGCCCTTTCAAGTTTTTTAGTTGTCTCCAACATTTCCTCTGCATTTCAGATTTTTTCCTGAGCCATCCATTTTCCAGTAGGAATCTCTTACAGTTTGAGCACTGTAGCACTATGGCACTGTCTTTCTGTTGTTCATCGATTTTGTTCGAGGGGGCCAAGTAATGTTGTGAGACTTGTTACTGTGTTTGGCATATTGAATACATCACAGGTAGCTTGCCAGTGGTTGCTGTGCGGGTGAGATACTCTTGATAGCTTGTCGGGCTCTCTGAGAGGGGCAGAGGTATCGAACCTGGGTCAGGCGGGCCAGCCGCATGCAAGGCAAACGCCCTACCACTGTGCTGTCACTCCAGCCAGGTTCTAAATCCTTTTTTGGACCAGAAGCACAAGGGAAAGACCTTCAGACTGTGGGCGACTTATAGTGGAGATTAGGCTGGTTTTGCCCTGAAATCAGAGACTGGCATACCCCCTGCCAGATCTTTCGTGCTTCTGTGACCTGGGACAAGCAGAATTGGCCCAGTTCTGTTCCTTCCACATACACATTCCTGGAGGAAGATTCTCACTGGAACTGAGTTAAACTGATTGCCTCGGTCCCAGGAAGGAGTGGCCTCGTCCCTCTGTCCCTGCGGCT